CATTAAATAACAAGAGAAAAGAAAATTATTAAAAATTATACTCTTACATACCAGCTTTTCTATAGAGGATTGTGCCCTAAAACATTATGGTTGCCCCTTGTACAAACTTTTGATCAATATTTTACAGTTGATATGCTTTCCCAGTATGATATAAGACTCTACGAGCCTGTCAGGATGTAACAGACAAGGTCTGAGGGTCGGGTAGCGCAAGGCACACCACGATAGAGACAGGCAAGAGTCTGGAGGTGAGGTCTAGGAACGGATGTACAACCGAAACGAGTTGTACAAGGCTAGGGGGGATCACGGATTCAGGGTCAGGGTTCAGAGGTTCAGGAGGACGTGAAGCAAAAGAGGATGTAATTCCTAGGTACAGGTGTCCAAATTATATCTAATTTTATTTATACTCGCTGCACCAAAACATGGCTTATGGTTGAGCGATCATCCTATCATACACCTGGCATAAGGCCAGGCGGACCACAAGCGGACCGGAACTGCCTTGAAAGTCATAGCCTGGGGCCGGGGTCCCCACAATACACCGGCGCGCTCCCTCAAATAACAACTACCATACAAAGCGCACAAGCCTCCAAGTCCCAACCGTCAAACACTCCAGCAAACGAGCAAACACAGAAGCTAAGTACAAGACCCTCATAGACCCTCGTCTTCCTCGCTCCAACCGACAAACCGACACCCAACCCGACAGGAACAGAGCGACCGAAGTCCTTGGTCCCACCAAGTGAGGGGAAGGTAGTTACAGCCCACAACCATCACAAAAAAGAAAATAAATCAAAAAATATCAAATCCGGTCTCAATACTGTCCTGCTGAACCTCATCATCCTCCGGCAGAGAAAACCTAGGCACATACCCCAACGCGGCCCCCGAGGTCTTACTCCACTCCTGGCCACGGCCCCTCCCCGAATGCCATTTGCGCTGCCAACCACCAGATGAACCAGCATCCCCGCTAGCAACATGCCCAACCCCACCCTGCACTACTGCCTCCTCTACTAGTACCCACTTCCTAGCCTGCTGCTCCAGCAACATCAACCTGAGAAAGTCCGACATACTGACTCCCACACTCGGAGGTAAGCTCACAGCTCGACGCCCTACAGGCGCTGCCGACGGGAACTGAGTCTTGTACCGCCCCACCATATACGGGTTCTCTCCCTTAGGCCAATGTGTTAGGGGGTAGGTAATTGTAAAGTCAAGCGAGTGTATACTAGGCCCTGTAATCTTCTGTCTCGGAGATAGTCAAGAAGGTTCGTTAAGATAGAAGTAAAGTAGAATGAATATATTGATAAGATCTCTTCTCCAGTCGCTGATGATAGTCTTAAAGCTAGGGATTTTGTTTTGTTTTTTGTTTGACTCATTTGAATTCTGTTTAAGGTACAAAAGGCATATAGAGCGCTAGCTATGACGCCAAAAAACCCTCCTCCCCGGCCCCAGGCCGAACGACCGAGCTAAAAAAACCCTCTGGGGTAAAAAAAACTACCCGCGCCCGAAATCCTGCCCGTAAACTACTCCACCCAAGAACCCCCACCGCCAAGCGACAAAAGAAAGCTAACTACCCGACAGTGAACCAAGAACGCGCCCCAACCCCAAGAACAAAACACCTAAAGGCAGGAACCCAAACCAAACCCCTAAAGGCCAACGATCACTACTCAAATCCAAATAGGAACCCCACGGCCATATGATGAGGGCCAGGGGGAGGGAGCTGAAGCCCCGGAGGCAAAGGGTATAAGGGAAACCACCTTGAAGGCAGCGACCGAGAAGTAAGGAGAGGAGGTGTGTGGCAGGCGTGCCAGCGACCGTTTGTCCTCTGGGACAATCGACGAGTGAGGCAGTAAGGTGCCAGCTTGAGAGGGGGTGGTAGTAGGGTACTAGCCGATCCGACCGTAGAAGAGCCCTAAGTGAAGCAGGTGTTTTACCGCGTCTCTTATGTAGTCCCTTGTTCTAGGAGAGATAGCATCACTGTAGTGGAAGGGATCCCACCACCTGCCAGCCAAAAAGGCCTCGAAGGAGAGAGGAGGGGTAGACCCAAGACCGTGCACAGCAGCTATTGGTTATCACGTTCGCGTCCGACTAGGTAGCCTCTTAGGGAAGCAAGAGAATGGAGAGATCGACCAAAGCCTGTTGGCTGTTCTCTCCTACTGCAACTGTAGTCCCGGCCGTCTGCTGCTGGTGGAAAAGGGGTTGCCGACCATGCCAACGCCTAAGCAAGGCGGAGTAGGAAGAGGAGAAACATCACGAAGACGAATCAACCTCAACCAGGGATGGAACCAAGAGAGCCAATAAATAAATAAGGGCCTCAAGGGAGAGGGGAAGTGAGCCCACCTCCTGTAGCCGATGCTAGATGAAGGGAGATGGGGGGGGGGTGGTGGTGCTAGATGATGAAAGCCATGATAGAAACCATGGTATTGAGTTTTCAATCGCCGGAGGTGTAGCGGAGACGGAGGATGTGTAGTGGAGACGGAGGATGGTCTTAAAGCTAGGGAGGCACCTCGATATTTATATTCCACGTGTGGGTGGTCGTGGCCTACATCTAATCCCTTACTGACTATGTACCTGCCATACTAATGATTCAGTGTTCTTGGAGTACAAACTCCGTTTGACCCTGAAAAGTAAATTCCCTGCTCTCTTCCTAGGTGGAGTGATCAGCTCTATCAAAGGACTTATCAATGACTCCTCTATGTGCATAGCTTAGAGTACATGACGAAGATAACTAACTTGACTATTGAGTTGTTATTAACCAATTGTGACCAGTCTCCGGATGACTCTTGGTTCACGCAAGCTAAGGGGCGTGTTCGTTACTACTGGTATCATTTGTAGTAACGACACTCAGACTTGCAGAGGCGATAGCTCAATAACTAACCGACCAATCAGGTTCAATCAAGTCTTATCTTATAGAGCGCAGCTCCTTCTATGTTATCCAGTGAAAACCCCTCAGTCGCTTATCTTATCCCATGGATAGTGAAAGGGTAAAGACTTGCATGATGCCTTATCATTTCGTGCGCTAATATCTTAGCTCTACAAATACTGTGGTGGGGCCAGGAGCTGAATACGTGACCTTATGCATTTAGTCACATGCCGCAATGGTTACGCTTTTATGTGTAACACAATGCCCAGGGGGAAAGTGCTCAGGGGTGTCACAAACTGTGACTAAGCAAGGCAGATTTTACATAGCTCGGAATTCCGAGCTGTGGGTATGTTGGGATTTCACATGACGTACATTAGTACGCCATAGGTTATTATGTTTACTTGTTCATGAC